CATGGGGTTCTCCATACTTAATTGAGTGAGTAATGGTTGTGTAATCGATGGTGTTTGGATACGTCGAAGATTATAGAGGATCATGTTGCACATCGAGAATTAGAGTTATCAGTATTGGAGAAGAAGTAGTGATATTCCACTGTGAAGAAGTTCAGAGAGTTTTTGGAAAGTTGTCAATAGCTCGTGTGTTGGTCTTGCCGAATCTGACGGAACTATTCATTGTGTTGTAATGATTTGTTAAAATGACTGGGAGATATGTTAAGTGCAACATCAACGAGTTTTGGCTATGCTTTGAAGCAACTTAAAGTACATAAGGGAATTATCAGACAAGTGATTTAGAGTTGGTTGTTGTTAAGTATTTGTACCGGAGTTTGGAAGCCTCAATTGTTTAGTTGAGATTTGAGATGGTTAATGATCTTAAGATCTTAAGGTATTTGTTTGACTTGAGAAGTTGAATATGATGTAGAGGAAATAATTGGGACTTCTGAAAGAGTATGGTTTTGGTTGAGTTACCATTCGATTGAGACCAAGTGGTAACTGAGTTATTGCATTGGAAATCTCTGTATGTACCGATGATGATGGTAATGAAGTTAGGACTGATTGAGTAAATTTGGAATATGAGTGTGGTCTGTGAAGAGACTTCTCATGGAGTTGAGCTTTATATGATGAGACTAACTATTGGTATTCTCGATGATATTCGAGGGGGTCGGAATTCTAATTCGAGTTAATATATTGATTGAATTTAAGGGATAAAAGTCGAGGAGGTGATTTTCGGAATTATGGAAATGGTATCATGAGATGTCAGGATGGAGTATGTGTTCTGAATAGTGTGAGTTGGATGGGAGTACACTGGAAGAAGGACATTGAGATAGATGGAGTATCCATGCAGGTACTAGAAAAGTGTGACCGAATTTGAGGAATTATTGTGGAATATGCGTATGTGCATTACTTGTGTAATTGAGAAATGTGAATGTGTAATAGTGAATTGGTGGATAAAACATAACATGTGTATGTTTATGTGGGATGTTGAGATTTATGGATGTATGCATGATGAAAATGCTTGACGAGTGTCTATGTTTGTTTATATGCACGTTGTGATGCATCTGATAATGGAAATGAATTGTGGTGAGAAAATGTGGGTTATATGTATTCTATACTTGTGTGTATATATATATATATATATATATATATATATATATATATATATATATATATATATATATATATATATATATATATATATATATATATATATATATATATATATATAATTGTATGCATTGATTATTATGATAATATTTCTCACCATTCTGCTGTTTTATAATGCTCTATGAGGCATTGCAGATTAGGTTGCTGGAGGTCCTTTTTGTGAAGTATATCTTCATTCTTTTGTCGGGTCACTCTGATATGTAGCACTGGGTAGATAGGCTGTATAGCATTCTTTTGAGATACATTGTATATGTATCTGATGACATATATGTTTTGTGAAATCGTGAATGATGTGATGAACAAACTGATTTGACAAATATATTTATGATGATGTGTCTTAAATGATTTAATGTTTTAACCTTCCGCTAAATTGTGAAAGTTGAAATGTGGGTGTAAGGACTAAGTTCCTCTATTTTCAAAACTACCCCACTGCTACATGTCATTTTGAGCAGGTATTGTGTGTTTTAATTGGTGATGATGTAGCATACCTCTTTATACCATATTTTCTTAAACTCTGATGAAAATTTTTATATGTGCGTAATTGTTTTTATGTTGATTATTTGGGGGTATAGAAGGTGGTGTTACAAAGTCCATTTCACTTGTCCACCCACAAGCCAATGAAGAAGCCAATTCAACCAACAAAGTGATGCTTTATGAAAAAAATAAGAATTTAGATGACACAAAAGGTCTATAAGCTAAATAATTGCACGAGCTTTTATGGTCGTATCATACAAAACCGTACTCTACCACCAAGGAAACATTATTTAAGACGAGCTTAGATGCAAATATGATGTGATCCGCAAGGCAAGATAGATTGCCCACTTTCTCAAATTTACAACCAAGAAAATTACTTTAGGTGATACAATTTTAAGGAGGTCCCAAAGGATATGAAGAAATGCAATCTCGTGCTCAGTTAAGTGGTCACACCTACTCAAATTAAGAAGGTGCTTCATGATTGAGAAGGCATGTACCGGGTCCGTCAAAAGTTATTGCATGATGTGTACAATCTTGAAGAATTGAATGGATGACTTGTTCCTAAAATCTAGAACTCAGTGAACCTCATAAAAGATCCTTCTCAACTTATCAAAATATCTCTCTGGACCCTTATAAGGGATCCTTATTGACTTATCAAGTTATCTCATTAGACCATAATGAGGAACGATTGTAGCTTTATTAGGCTATCTCATCGGACCCTTATAAGGGATCCTTGTTGCTTTATCATAATATCTCGCTAGAAATTTATAAGAGAATCTTGATTCCTTATCAGGATAACTTGCTGGACCCTTATAAGGGATCTTATCCACCTTACTAGGTTATTATCATGGAAAATAATTGAAACTACCCTCTATAAGAAAACTACAAGGAAATAAAAAATGGAGCAAAGATAACAAATAAAATTACAAACACATCGCCTAAATGCGTAAACTTTTCATTAAAAGATCCTGAAAGGCTATATTACAAAAAAACCTTACAAGAGGCGACAATACATAAAAGATAAAAGAAATTTAATGGTTAATCAAAGGGCTCCCATCCTTCACTAGCCCATCTACATTGGCGCTCTTCTCAGATGGGACATCTTTCTTATATGAAGAGAAAGTCGTATGGACATCAATATCACCCTCATAATCTAGCTCTTCCACCAGATGATCGTTCTTGAAGACTTTAAACAAGTCAAGATCGCTCAAATCCATATTTGGATAGAAGTGAGCCATTTGAGCTTTATCCTTTTCAAAGGCCCTATCTTAAGCTTCGACTGTATCATTCTAAGCGTCAACTAGATATCCTTCAAGCTTCATCTTAAGAAGAGTCTCTGCCTGGGCGAACTTATTCACTTTAGTAATTTATGCTTTTATTAGGGCGAGATCTTCGCCAATCTTCTTGGCGACCTCATCCTTGTTTTTCTGCACTTTCCCAAAGCAAACTCATCATGACATATCAATTTTTATGCTTTACGTGCTCCTCAGGTTTGAATCTTGAGGGATCGCCCTCTGAGCCCTGCTTGAGAAAATCACCATTCGAGCTCTGCTTGAGGGACCCACTCTTTAAGCCTCGAGTGAATGACTCACTCTCAAAAGCCTCGTGCGAGTGACTCACCCTTCAGGCCTTGCTTATGTCTCACTCCCCTAAGTTTCATTTAAAGTAGATACCATCGTTCACCTAATTTAATCACTCCCCCTTCTGAGGCCTAATGCTTGAAGGACTGTGGATTGGAATAAGTTTCACTGAACCTAAAGAAAAATAATCCATGATTCAATTAGCCCAAAGGTGCCATTAGAGGGGCATAAAACCAAATGAGGTTTGTGCGATATGACGAGCCACATATTCTCCAACTAGAGCTTGGGTCGCTTGACCAAATTCCATGTCCATCACATGCCAACCACCTCAATAAATGACAGATTATGTGTCCTTGAGAGAGTTAGTTTTGGTTTGGGCCTCTCACAATGCCAAAGACGAGCGAACGTGAGGAACAGATATTCCCTTATTCACCTAGAGTAGACAACTATACCCCTAGAGGCATTATCCATCATCTAGATTAATCAGACGATTGTTTGTACTACACACTATACTTTTGGTAGATGGTTTTACCCGCTTCCATTATATAAGACAGAAGGCACACCATTATCTGATATTTAAATCATTTCTCACTCATACATTACGCGTTATTACATGAAACACTATCTCATAATTTCACCATTTATTTCTACGCCTAAATCAAACAGCAGTATATAATTATATCATATAATTTTTAGTGATAAATATTTATTTAAATGAATGTGATGATTCAAATTTGAAATCAAAATTCCATATAATGTTGTTTCAAATGAAAATACTATTAAAAAAATATTTCTTTATTACTAGTAGTATCATTTAAATAGAAAACATTAAAAAAAGTCCGTTTTACTTAACATATACGTGTATATATACGGTGTTCCATATTCATGCAAGAAAGTGTTTAGTCATCTTTTCTCTAATGAACAATGTTAGTACTAGTATTATAAACCTTTTAAAGTGTAGAGCATCCTAATTTTAAAGTGTATATATGATTCTATGATGTCACTAATTCACCTTGACTAAGGGAAAAAAGAAGTGTAATAGTAATAGTAATGAAAATTGACAGTGTGATTAAGCAGAAAACAAAAAAGTTAAGCATTTTCCCAAAGTTAATTAAATAAGTCACTTTCAATGACAGAAGGTAACTAATAAAAAGTGTTTGGGTTAGTGTGCTTGTATAACAAGAGAAGAGACACAGCCAGAGAGCTACTCTATAAAGAATAGGCATAGCAGCATAGATAGTGTGTTTGAAATTGAAAGGCAGTAGCAACAGCAGCAGCAGGAGAAGAAGGAGAGAGTATCTTTAGACGAGGTCAGCATTCAACACAACATTATACTTTACTTCCTGTGATAAACAACCCAACGTTGTTCATTGTTTGCGTGTATTTTCTTCTATTTCCGTTCCTGTTTTCTCTCTCTCTCCTTTCCCTTTATTTAAACAAAAAAAAAGAGGAGAGAGAAACTATAGGCCCCTCTAAGCGTGCAAATAAAAGACTTAAAGCAAACCAAAACAAAACCATATCACAATCTCTTGCTATTATTATCACTCTCTCTTCATCTTTGCTCTATAATATTTCTACTATCTCTTCTTCTACTCTCTCTCTCTAACACTCTCTTGTTCTTTTTTCACGTAAGGGTATGTATGCTAACTCTAACACACATGTTGTTTTTTTCACTTTCTGTCTCTAACATGTTTTTCTTCCATTTTTTTCTCAGGTTTGCTTTCTATTTCTCTAGTGATGAATGAAATGTCTAGAAATGAGAGAGAATCTTCAGAGGAAAGAAAACTAGAACTAAGGCTTGCTCCACCCGGTGTTGAAAACTGGTTTCTTCACCACAACAACAAGAACAAACAAAGAGATCTTGATAATCATGACTCCAAACTCTCTCTTGGTACTACTTACTTTTCAACAAACAATACATCATTTCTTCACTTTCCATCAAACCAACATGTGAGAGGCAAAGAATCTTCATCATCACAAGCCTGTTGTCCTAAGCTAGTAGAGTTACAGAATGGTGATAATAACAAAGTTACAGCTGTTTCCAACACTTCTCAGAAAAGGTAGTACTATACCTTTTTCAATATCAAACCTTTTTTTTTTTTTAATATAATTGTTTTTTTTAACTTTTTAGACAGAGGATATTCATTCACACTGTCACTTTGTTTTTTTCTTACTGTTGTGGTCCATGCAAGTTTTCTCTTCTGTTCCTTTCTACCAGTTTTTTTGTGTAGTAGTAATAGATCTAGTGTTCTTTTGTTACACTTTTTAGTGCAAGAAATTAATATCATGTTTTTCTATTATTAATTATTATATGCCTTTTATATATACATAAAATTTATGTTTCACTAAAACATGCAAATTTTCATGAACTGGTATAATTAAAACTTTACAATTTTTTTAAAGCTTTTATCTATGTTTTTCATGCTTATCTTTGTGCATGGACCCTACCAAACACAGAACTGCTCCTGGACCAGTAGTAGGTTGGCCACCAATTCGTTCATTCAGGAAGAATCTTGCAACAACAAGTAGCAATTCTAAACCATTATCACAAACTGAATCTCAGACACAACATCAAAACAAGGTTGTTGCTGGTAAAAAACCTATTGATAACAACTATGGTAGTAAAGGTTTGTTTGTTAAGATCAACATGGATGGTGTTCCTATTGGTAGAAAAGTTGATCTCAAAGCTTATCATAGCTATGAAAATCTCTCCATAGCTGTTGATGAACTCTTTAGAGGACTCCTTAAAGGTATAACACTGTTTTCTGTCATATTTTAAATAATGATTATTTATAGTAACACTTGATTATGTTATGATTATGATATTAATTTTTATTGTGTATAGCTCAAGGAGATTCTTGTGGAAGTAAGAAAAATGAAGATGAAGAAAAAGTGGTTAGTGGAATATTGGATGGAAGTGGAGAATATACTCTTGTATATGAGGATAATGAAGGAGACAGGATGCTTGTTGGTGATGTCCCATGGCAGTAAGCATCTTCAATATCACTTCCAATCTTATGCTATATTATATTAATTAAATTTATAATAATATATTTCAATACTGTTAGATTCCTTGTGTTTAACAATTCATATATATTTTTAATTATATGCAACCATTTATGTTTTGACAAGTGTTGAGAATAAATCTGTAACACTACATGCCATAATACAACATTTGTTCTATGTCCCCTCTCATAGAAATAATACAAATAAACTATAGTATAAAATTATATAATAAATGTGTTTTTGGCAGTATGTTTGTATCAACAGTGAAGAGGCTTAGAGTGTTGAAGAGTACAGAGCTTTCTGCATTTACACGTGAGTTAGACAGAATCTTAGCTAGTTTGTTTACTATTTTTGTTTTCTTGTTTGATTTTATTTGTGGTTGAAGATTTGAATAAATGTTATTTTTGTGTTTTCAGTTGGGACTACTAAGCAAGAGAAGATATGTACTTGATTTGGCAATGGAATGAAAGTGTATGATTATGAATGTTTATTATTTTTTTTTTAAGTGAAGATTTGAAATGTTTATGGGTTTTGTATAAATAGGGAAGTACAACTTAAAGAATGTGTGTACTCTTGATTTACTGTGGAGTAACTATTTTAACTTGTTTTGGTTTGAATTTTGAAGTAGATTATGTAGATTGCTGTTTTTTTTCTTTCACATCTCTCGGATTCTGTATGATTTTCAACACATCAAAGATTTTCAAAGCAAATAAAGTACATTTTCTAACTATAAGTCACACAATGAGTTGAAATGTTGCTTGTGAGGAGTTCATAAAGCCAAACAACTTTGATGTGTTTTGTGTGCTCATTGAAAAATTGGATTGACAGTTATGTGCTAATTGTAGTTTGCTATCACAAAATATTTTCAAGGGGTTGAAATTTGGGTCGCTGTGAAAGAGTAAAAGTGCTTTCGAATCATTTGAGCTCATATGCAATAGTAGTCATGGAATGCTATTTTGTCTCGAATGAAACAATGGTTGCTTTTTGGGTTTATAAGAGATAGGCAAGTTCCTGAGATATACAATCCATTCAGAAAGAGAGCGTCTAGTTAAAGGGCAACTTGCCCAATTTGAGTCACACCAGATGTATTTTTATTTTTTCTGTTTTGAAATTTTAGTATTTAACTTTGCGTGCGATCCACTAATTTAAGAGGATTAGTCATTCTAACATGAAACTTTGAAAAGAGCACAGTCTCGAAACTTAAATTTTTATTACAAGGCCATTAGGTATTAATTTAAAAATCACAATCAACGTAGGGAAGAATATCATGGCTGAGATTTCCCTCGAGATATCGAACAACATAGGGAGTTGCGTTCCAATGATTTTTAAAAGGTTTTTGCATAAATTAAGTTAACATTGTAAGAAAGACTTAGGTAATTAAGTAGATCCAACGATCTACTAGTCATTAATAGGGGTCTAAATTGAAAATTGGAGTTCCAATAGCCAAAGGAAGATGATGATTCTGATTCTAAGGGAAATTCAACAAGTTTAAATAATCAAACATAGATTTTTTAAAGATAATCTCAAGAATCAAAAATATTAAACAAGAGAATAATTCTCTAACACGACTACCAATACAATAAAAAATTCTCTAAATATGAATTTTGATGTAATTTGAAATGAGGAGAAACCCTATATTTATTGGAGAAAACATAGCTAAAAAAGATTGGTCTAACCGATTATATAGTCAAAATAAGAAAGATTTTCAAATTATCGGTCACAAATCAATTAGAAGACCTTTTAAACGATTAAGAGGCGTTAAAAAAGAGACAATTGATTAATCCTTGTGTGTGCTAATCAATTATTTAGTGTAAATTACACTCCTAAATATTTATTCGGGCTAGTAACCAACTAATTACCTGTGCATAACGCTTTCATGTGATTTTATAAAAGTAGAGAGGCTTCAAAAACAGTGTGGGCGCGCGCGTGTGTGTAAGAGAGTTTCCTTAGTATCTTAGGAGACACTCTTATACTTTTACAATATACTTATCACTCAAACATGTGATTAATCGAAATTTAACACATCGTCTCTTTTACAACCTTGAAGCTTTAAGATACCTTTCTACATTGTCCATTGATTCATCATTTCATTTGAGAGTTGTCTTCTTTTATCTGATGAAGCTTGACCTTGCCTCTTTGTATATGCCATTATTAGATGTTGTTTGATTAGAGATCCTTAAGGACTCCACCAAACATTGCTTGACATTAGGTGTTGTCAGCATCAAAACCACCGAAGATCATCATACAAATAATTGTAACTACAAGCACATAACTCTATATTCTCTCCTTTTTGATGATGAAAACACATATATTAGCGAGGTGGACACACTAAGAAATAACGGTAAGGGATTTAAGTGATTTAACTCCCTCTGACAAATATAGAGAGTATACTCTACTCACTCTAAGAGTATACTTCATCCCTTTTGATAATACCGAATGAAAAAAATTACACAAAGCGAGCACATAGATCATGTATGCCATATAGAGAAGGGGAACAAGAAGAAGGAATATAGACATTTAACAAATATTAATCCATGTATGATTGATTCAATATTCTTAATTCAGTTCTTATGAAAAAGAAATTTTCTTTAAGAAGTAGTTTAGTAGAAATATTTGAGAGTTAATTATGAAATTCTGGCAACCGCACAATGGATGTTATCACGGATGTTATGACATCCACTGTAACACAGACTACTGGACTTAAGCAGTAAATAACACAAGTAATTGTTCACCCAGTACAGTGTCAACCACACCTACATATAGGGGCTACCAAGTCAGGGAGGAAATTCACTATTAGTAGAATTAATTCAAAGTCAAACAACTCATTTGCACTCTTCACTTAAGACCTACCCAATGACACTTTAGCCTAGAAACCACTAGACCAGAGTTTCCCACTCACTCCCCCTCAATCACCACAATGATATCAATACACAATTACAATATGAAGACACTCTTCAAACACACCTTGATCTTGCTTCACAACTTTGATCAAGAGACACAACACTCTTGCTTAAAAGCTTTGAGTGACACAATGAATACAACAGTTCACTAACACTAAACCAGAGCAATCATACAACAGACAATTGCTTGGCCTACAGGGAATCCTAAGGCTCCTAAACACACGTGAAGAACAAGGTTCTTCACTCACAAAGCACACTCTCCAATCTCTCTCCAGAAGCTCTGCTCTATTTGGAGTGATCCTTCTGTTATTTATAGCAGCAGACTTGCTTTGGGCCTTGATGGAGAAATTAGGTTTACCCAAGATAAACCTCTCTTCATGAAGCTGCGCCCTTATCATTAGGTCAGGAGTCTTCTATGTTATCCTCAGCAATGCCTGTTATGTCGCCTAAGATAACTAGGTTTCCTGAATTGTTTCCTGAAGTATATCCTGAGCTAATAACCAAAAAACTAACCTTGCACGCCCTGATGTCATAACATCCAGCATGACATTCAGCTTCACTTGCTCTTAGCTCTCCCTGCAGAACACTCTTCATGTATGTCATAACATCAGTTATAAAATTCATACATACATTAATATTTTTCCATAAAATGCAGCCAATCAAAAGCATCTACAAATTAAATAAAGACACATGTTCAATTATAAAATCATCTTTTTCGACACGGTCTCTTATAAAATGGTGCATAACCTCAACGTGTTTAGCATGAAAATGAAGTACTACATTTTTCGTATGGTATATGACACTATTATTGTTGTACTTTAATGGCACAACACAAAGATTAACTCTATAACCACTTAGCTGATGTTTCATCACAATAATTTGTGCGCAACAACTACCCTACAACAATGTATTCTGCCTCAACTATGTATAGCGCTACACTTGCTTGTTTCTTGCTATGCTAGAGGACAAGCGTTACCAAGCAAGTGACACATACAACTAATACTTTTCTAATCTAACTTGCACCAGAAAAATTAGAGTCGGAGTAACCAACTAAGACACAATTTGTCCCTTTATGTTACCATATATCCATTAGTGGTGTCCGAATGAGATATCTAATAATACTTTTACCACTGATAGATGTGATTTTTGGAGGATGCTTGAAAATGAGGACAAACACACATAGAAATCAGGATATTAGAATTAGATGCAGTAAGATAAAGGAGAAAATCAACCATACCTTGGTATTTGTTTTCTTTAACTATCTTTCCTCGTCCATCCTTATCAAAATTTCATGAAGTACCTAATGGAGTGAATGTAACTTTGGTTTTGTCCATGCCAAATATTTTGAGTAACTTTTTGCAGTATTTCACTTGATTGTTGAAAATGACTTATTTAGATTGATGAATTTGAAGGCCAAGGAAATACCAAAGCTCCCCCATCATTGGCATTTCAAATTAGTCCTCCACCACTTTAAATGAAGATTTGAAATGTTTATGGGTTTTGTATAAATAGGGAATTACAACTTCAAGAATGCGTGTGCTCATGATTTGCTGTGGAGTAACTACTGTTAACTTGTTTTAGTTTGAATTCTGAAGTCAATTTCCTTTTACATCTCTTAAATTTATCAGATTCTTATGATGACGAATCTTAATTAATCCGAACATTACATTTTAGTAACATGAAAACTTTGAAACAGAGAAAAATTATGAATGACAGTGTAAATTAAAGAAGTATGTTAAAATTGTTTCAACCTATAGAGTTATCTCTTAGATACTGATTTTAAATACATAAAAAAATTTCAAAGTAAATACTATTAAATACATATTGCAACACTCTAACAAGGCACATAATGAGTTGAAATGTTGCATGTGAGAAGTTCATAACGTACAAAAAGACAATCTAATTTTATGTGTTTTGTGTGTTAATTGCAACTTGCCCGATCTAAGTCACACTATGTGTATTAATTTAAAGATCACAATCAACTTGGGGAAGAATAATATGTCCAGAATTTCTCTTGAGACATCGATCAACACAAAGATTTGCATTCCAGTGATCTTTAAAAGGTTTTTGCATAAATTAAAGCAACATATGAACATTCTAAGAAAGTTTTGGTCTAGAAGAGCACTTTTGAGATTGACAAAACAACATTGAGGTGCCTGATTCCAGCCGTCTATAGATTTGCGCAAGCGACATCTTTATTTGGTATAAAAGTCCTGAAACTGGGATATAATTTCATAAAACACTTATTCATCAAGCTCTTCATGTAAAAAAATGTTGTGTACGTCCATTTGATGAAGTTCCTAATGTTTTATAGTAGAAGCAACGAGAATTTTTTGTACTGTTACCATTTTCCTAATTGGAGAAATGGTTTCATGATAATCCATCCTCTCAAATAGATTTTTGTTTGCAGGAAGTGTTTCTATTGTCCATATGCCATTATTCGCCACAAAATATCTTTGACAACTTAAGGAAAGCTCTATGATTCTATGTCTGCAGAAACAACGACAAAATAAAATCATATGTCGTGGTGAAAAGTTAGCATAATTCACAT